CCACAAGTCAAAAAGGAGAACAGCAACTACATCCCTAGGAAAAAAAAAAAGACATTTCGACATTTTCAAATAAGCATACACTTTAGTTAAGTAGTCAATACATAAGATAAGAAAAAAAGTCAATTTTAAAAGTATACACACAAGCTAATTAGAAGTGAAAAAAATTGATTTCCTTCTGTCACTAGAAAAGTCTAGTGTCACACTAGAGTTATCCCACGGTACTATCAGACTATCTGTAATACATGCCGACTCCTGAATATTTTATTAAGGAACAGCAGAACGACTTCACAATGATTCCAGAACCCTAAAAAGTGTACCTATTCTTCCAATTCCACAATAATACCAATGATATCAACTGTTTAAGTGGTAGACTCTCTCATAAGCCGTTTCGCTATGGTGACACGTGAGTGTTAGTTTAAATCAGGCATGAGAAAATAATGGCCATAAGTAGTATCAGTCTGGTCCACGAGTCGACAGAGTAAAAACGAACGTAGCCTGTGGCGAGTCGATAATCAATAAAAATAAAACCATTTGCCTCGAAGAAAAGTAAAACCAATAGTTTTCAGCCCTCTGTGGTTACCTGAGACGGGGCTTTGGGACGACGAGCAAAGGCCAAGGTCATGGCAGGCCACATCAGGCGAGATCTCCGCCTCGAGCAGATGGATAACGTAGGGGAGGTAAACCTGCACAAAGTTCTGGCACTCAGACCTCACGCTGGCTGGGGTGATGCTGCACACTTTGTCCAGGGCAGCCATTATCTCAGCCTGTCAGACAATACAGCAGTCCACTTGATGACCTTTTTTTTTGGGGAAGTGTTTTACAGCACTCGCAACTGCATAAGTTCATGTGAGTGCGCGGGACACATTAAACATTTTCAGTTGGTAGGAAATTTTGAATTTTTCTTGGGGGGGGGGGCAGAAAGTGGAGACGAAAGCAGACGACAGAACACTGCCAGAGAGCATGAAAAGAGGTAAAAGGAGACAATTTTTAGAGAAGAAAAATTTTTCTTGGGGGGGGGCAGAAAGTGGAGACGAAAGCAGACGACAGAACACTGCCAGAGAGCATGAAAAGAGGTAAAAGGAGACAATTTTTCGAGAAGAAAATGTTTCCCGTCGCTACCCGAATCCGAACCCGGGACCTTTGATTGAGAGGCGAACACCTTAACCTCTAGACCAGGAGAGCCCCCAAACATGTTTAGTATAGCCTGTCATTACTGTCAGACAATACAGTCGACTTGACAAACATGATCTACATATCAGATTATCTTAAGCGAATGCAAAATGTTTTCTGGGTCTTTTTATTCATAATTTTTTTGGGGAAAGTATTTTACAGCACTCGCAACTGCATAAGTTCATTTGAGTGCGCAGGACACATTAAACATTTTCAGTTGGTAGGAAATTTTAGGGGAAATTTTGGAAGGAAATTTTCAGTCTTGTATTAACAACATTTCTACAAAACGTAGCAGAATGTACAACTCAAAAGTCAAACTCATTCATTCATTAGAGATGATGTTCAAGGAAGATGAATGTGCTTTCAAACTGGGTAGAGACAAAAGAGGGAGCAAGTTCTGTTTCCTCACCAATACTGACACTTAAAAACCCCCAGAATATTTATTCAACGCACCCAGTGGCTTGCAAGTGAAAAACCAGGAGAAAAAACATGGAACGCTAGAATTCGTACAAATCGTCTTTTTACATGTTTTAATAATGAAGAGGAAAATCAGAATCAGACATTTTTTCTTTCTATTTAGTTTTAGTTTTCGTAAGCGTTTTATGGCACTTGCAGCACAATAAGGTCATATAAGTGCCAAAGAATAGATGTGTTACAAGAGAGTAACAAACACACAAAAAAAAAACCAAGGAGGAGAGAAAAGGACGATAGATGTTTGATAGGAAAGAAGGAGCAAACCACATCAGAGCACCCGCCAACCACCTACTTTCTTTCTTTAGAACCTTATAATAATTATAATAATTGCATTCATATAGCGCATATCCATGCTCAAGAGCATGCTCTATGCGCTTTACAACTATTATTACCTTCTCATTCATATTATCCTATTTCACAAACAGCAGTATAGAACTGATATTATACATTACCATTACCACTAATGTGGCCAACACACCTGAGTAGCATTCTTGTCCAGGGCGGCGTACAGGTAGGTGAAGCCAAGCTTGCACACCGAGCACATTTCTCCACTCCTTGCAGTCACTGTCACAGAGGGCAGCTTCACAGCGTTGACTGAAACAAAGGACAAAACACGAATGTTAACCCTATCCGTACGTCGTGTTTTACTATCGTATCCATACGACATGTGGAACTCTGTGCCACCACTTAACCCTATCCGTACGTCGTGTTTTACTATCGTATCCATACGACATGTGGAACTCTGTGCCACCACTTAACCCTATCCGTACGTCGTGTTTTACTATCGTATCCATACGACATGTGGAACTCTGTGCCATCACTTTCCAAAGAGGAAATTTACTCAATCCGACCTGTACGCTTTGCATAACAGTCAGTCAAAATGATTTTTTGAGAAATACTGAAAGTTTCAAAAAGATCTTCGCACTATATGTGTTCTAAAATGTGCTGAATACAACCCCAGGGGTACAAAATGACCCCAGGGCGTATGGATAGGGTTAAAAAATAGTTATCTTAGAACTTGAACAGAGTTCACAGTTTCAAATAAAATGATTCTTTGAAAAGAAAAAAGCATTAACAGACTGAAGATGCAGAAAACACGACGAAGAAATAAGAAGGGGGGAAAGGATGAGGAGGAGCAGACAAAGAGAGAAGAGGAGAAGAAGAAGTAGGAAAAGGAAAATATGAGGAAAAGCAGAAAGCAGATATAAAAGAGGAAAAAGATAAGAAGTAGAAGGTAGAAAAGAAAGAGATGAGGAGATCCAGAAGTAGAAGAGAGAAAAGGATAAGAAGTAAAAGAGTCGAAGAGGAAAAAGGAGGAGAGGGAGAGAGAGATAGACAAAGAAAAAAGGAGAAGTAGAAGAGGGAAAACAACAAGAGGAAGAACAGTATAAGGGGGGAAAAGGAGGAGGGGGAGAGAGATAGACAAAGAAAAAAAAAAGGATAAGGAGCTGCAGAAAATCAAATAAGAATGAGGGGTAGCAGAAGATAAAATAAGACGAGGATGAAGAGGAGAAGAAGCAGGCTGTGAGGGAAAAAAAGACCCCAGAGGAGGTGCACAATTTTCTCACCTGAAAACCGGTCGTCCTTGCAGAGCTTGATGTAGTCACAGATGAGGTTGGGGGGGATCTCCTTCTCAATCAGCTCCACCACATAGCGCGTGTACATGGGCACATACTGCAGGCACGGCTTCTTGTACTGGTCGGGCAGTAGGTCGCACACACGGTCCAGGGCCGTGATGATGTCCTCCTGTAAGCACCAAGTAAAACCCAGCAAGTGAGTGAGTGAGATACAGGCAAACTTAGTGAGAATACAAATAAAACCCAGCAAGTGAGTGAGTGAGATACAGGCAAAACTTAGTGAGAATACAAGTAAAACCCAGCAAGTGAGTGAGTGAGGATACAGGCAAAACTTAGTGAGAATACAAATAAAACCTAGTAAGGACACAAGTCATGAGGCTAACAACCTCTCTCGTAAAAAGAACCTGTTACAGAAACACATACAAGCGCTCACTTGGAACGAGCTTGGAAGGATGGCTCAGGACAGAGATAAATGGAAGGAGCTTGTATGTGGCCTATACCCTGCCAGGGGTGAAAGGCATTGATGATGAAGGACAAAAGTAAAGTGAGGACACAAATAAAACTCAGTGAGGACACAAAACAAAACCCAGTAAGTGAGGATACAGGTAAAACCCAGCAAGTGAGAATACAGATAAAACACAGTAAGTGAGGATACAGGTAAAACCCAGTGAGTCAGGATACAGATAAAACCCAGCAAGTGAGGATACAGATAAAACACAGTAAGTGAGGATACAGATAAAACACAGTAAGTGAGGATACAGGTTAAACCCAGCAAGTGAGAATACAGATAAAACACAGTAAGTGAGGATACAGGTAAAACCCAGTGAGTCAGGATACAGGTAAAACCCAGCAAGTGAGGATACAGATAAAACACAGTAAGTGAGGATACAGATAAAACACAGTAAGTGAGAATACAGGTAAAACCCAGCAAGTGAGAATACAGATAAAACACAGTAAGTGAGGATACAGGTAAAACCCAGTGAGTCAGGATACAGATAAAACCCAGCAAGTGAGGATACAGATAAAACACAGTAAGTGAGGATACAGATAAAACACAGTAAGTGAAGATATGGGCAAAACCCAGTAAGTTTTAATACAGATAAAACACAGTAAGTGAGGATACAGATAAAACACAGTAAGTGAGAATACAGATAAAACACAGTGAAAGAGGAAACAGACAAAAATAAAACCCAGTGAGGAAAGCCTTTGAGTGAGCTTGTCAAAGAACAAGTTGTATCAACTCTCTACTTACAACACAAAAAATAAAACGGGTGTACTTTTAGTAAGGCAAGGGTTTGACATTCGCCACTTGCAACACAGTTAGTGCTGAAGATTAGAGGTGTTACAAGCCAGTAACATACACACAAAAGAAGGAGGAGAGACAAGGATGATAGATATTTGATAGGAAAGAAGGAGCAAACCGCGCCAGAGGACCCACCAACCACCCATAAGAGCAAAACAGGAAATTGCAGGATCTTACTAAACGATAAGAAGCAAACTTCATTAACACATGAATATTCTCTCTAAAGAGAGGGACACTCTTCTCCGGCTAACAGCTGACCACGTACATTTCACACTCCACCTCCAGGTAGTCAAACTATTTTTTTATCAGGTTCCATAAATCCTGCAATGCCCCCCCAAGTATATTAAAAAAAAATTCCCCCTAAAGAACTGATGGCATTCACTATAAAGAACTGAAGACATGTTCACACACACACACACAGTTGTGGTTTTAAAAATCGACCACTGCCATCTCTCAAATTCTTTATAAAATCCAATATGTCTATTATTTGAACCTGGCAACATTTTCTTCAACAAAGTTTAATACGTTAGTGGGTACAAGATATGAAGTAAGTTCAAACCTGGGTGGCATTTTTCTTGAGGATATTTTCCAAAGTGCTCATAACGAGCTCACACAAAGCGCAGATTTCTGTCTTCTGATTGTCCAGGTCAGTTCCCTTCACTTTCAACTGATTTCTTTCACCTGGAAAAAAAAAGAGACATCCCAAAACATTGTAAGAATGGCTCATAGATTATGGGCTGATGGAGTCATGGAAAAATGAAACCATTTCTTCAACAAATGAACACGACAAAAGCATTTCCAGAATTTAGTTTATAAAGACCTTTGAAACATAAAAATAACAAGAAACTGTAGACACATTTACCATATCTTTGAGCTGGGGGGGG